TAGTCGCCTTCATCACATGCGCGCGTGACCCAACGCGGACAAGCCAACTTGATTGAAGAAGGCTAAAAACATGGCTTGACACGAAGACAGAACGTGCAGTTGGCACATGCAGCGATGTTGAGCGTACTTGCGTACACATGAGATTTTACCTGCAGGCTTGTCAGTGACTTGTATCGAAACAAAGCGTTATCAAGCAGAGCGTGTTTGTGGATCCCTTCAGTGATCTTGGTGATAAAATAGTAATCATAGAAATCATATACTATCTATTGCATGTTGTAATCATTGGGAGTGGGGGCGGTGATGTAAAAAAGTAAGAACTGACCTGTGCATGATAGCCGTGTGGAGTGACGGCACTGCAGTCGCATGTCGACATGGGTTTGCAATGAGCAGGCTAACAGCGACGTCGGATGTCGGGTATCTGTTGGCTGGGTATCTAAGCGTCTGTTTTGGTCAGCCGTTGTCGCGAAGTCGGTGCGGTGATGAAGCTGAATGGGTAAGGCAAGCTCAGAATATGTAAGAAATTGAATGTCATGACTTCGACGCCGTTAAGAGACCCCGGCGAGGGTCTCCGACGCCGAGCTCAATCGCAAATTATGTCATCCTAGGATGGGGGAGGAGTGTGGAGGCGAGAGACATACCAGTGGAGCTATGGGTGTTGGATCGTAGCTATGGGTCTTTGGAGTAGTTTAGCTCGGCGCATGTCGCGTCCGTCGCGTCTGCACCTGCAGAGCGCATGGTGCGAGGTCAAGTGGTCGTAATAGCCACGTCGACGACTGCATAAAGTCGCGACGGCTGTCGAGTCGAGCGTGGTGCTTCTGCGGTGCCCGCGGTGCTTGAGGAGATGATGGAAGTCGCGCGGTCGCAGAAAACTTTAAGGACGGCGCTAGCGCCAAGGCGCCTTTCGCTTGTGCACGGCCCCGGCCTCACACTGAATTTCGAACCTCCACCGACCGACATTACTTACTCCCGACAAGAACATCAACACCGACTCCTATTTCCGACCGGTACGCTTTCGACGCAGCAATACTCCACGTGTCTTCCCGTCTAACATTCTCTTGCAGCACATATCGACGAAATGGGTGACGCCGAAATTACAACGAGTGCCTGGAGGCTGGTAGAGGTCGGCCGCGTGGTCCTCTTCAACGAGGGTGCATTCGAGGGCCGCCTCGCTGTCATCGTCGAGATCATTGACCACAAGCGTGTATGGAAAATCCGCGATCCGGGTGCTGTTCAGCGGCTCACACAGACATAGGTCCTCCTCCAAGGTCCCTCCGAGAAGGCCCCTGTCCCTCGCCAGGAAGTCGCGCTTGCGAAACTCTCCCTTACACCCATCGTCATCCCCAAGCTTCCCCGTGCCTCGGGTAACGGCCACGTCGCGAAGAAGTGGGAGGAGCACAAGGTCCAGCAAAAGTTCGACGAGAGCTCATGGGCCCAGAAGCGTGCGGCTATCCAGAAGAGGCGGGGACTCAATGACTTTGAGCGCTTCAAGGTCATGAAGATGAGGAAGCAGGTACGTTCTGGCTTGTACCTGTGTCGTCGAATGCGACCATTCGGACGAGACGCGGTACCCCGGATGCGAATTGGGAACACAGACTAACAACAACACAGGCTCGTTTCGAGGTTCAGAAGACCTTCGCCAAGATCCGCGCCAGCGCAAAGGCATAGGTAGTCTCGATGCTGTCGGGAGACAGGCGTTGTGGTGATCGCTGCATGCAGGTGGCATAGAGGCATGACGTGCATTTCATGAGCATTCCGAAGGCGACCTCAAAGGCATTCAAAAATTCAAGGCCTGGTTAAGGGCGAATAAGTCCAATGTTTGGCACGGTGCAATTCGGTTTGGGAACGGTTTACTCGGCTCTCGCATGCATTCCACATGTAGCAAGAGAGTTCAATCCACAAATTCATGAACACACACGAACAGTGCAACTAGAATTGCAATTTGATACCCCCTTTGAAATGCCCTTCCTTGTGAATTGCGCGACATAGGCTGTGAGAGTAATTGTTGCTTGTGATGGGCGTCATTGCCAATTGCGAGAGCTGCCCGCGCTAAACCGCCCACAAATCATTTTTGGAAGCTCCGACCCCAACTCCGCGACGCTCGATATTGCAGCACCACCACCACCTGCCGTCACCCACAAACCGACAAAATGGCCAACCCCCGCATTGAAGAGCTCCCCGACGAGCCCGAGAAGAAGAACGTCCAGATCGAGGAGGATGAGTCCAGCGACGAGTCTGAGAACGAGGAGGGCGAGGTCAACGTGCCCGCGGGCTCTTCCGTCGCCGTCCACTCCCGCAACGAGAAGAAGGCTCGCAAGGCCATTGCCAAGCTCGGCCTGAAGCACATCGACGGCATCACACGCGTCACCCTCCGCCGACCGAAGAACGTGAGTGCTTTCCGCGCAATTGGTGGGGGAGCTGCAGTCAACAAACACGAGATGCGGGCAGACCGTAGACACAGTGCAGGGTATTAGGCTAACACACCTACCAGGTTCTGTTTGTTATCAACCAGCCGGACGTCTACAAGTCGCCCTCAAGCAACACCTGGATGTGAGTCGCTGCCCCTCAATGGCACAAGCCGCCTGCTGACCCCGCACCAGCATCTTCGGTGAGGCCAAGATCGAGGACTTGAACGCCCAGGCCCAGGCCTCCGCCGCCCAGCAGCTCGCTCAGGGCGAGTCCGCGCCCCACGACCACGCCGGTCATGACCACGGCGACGACTCCGGCAAGGGCAAGGCCAAGGCTGTCGAGGACAAGAAGGACGAGGAGGAAGAGGAGGACGACGATGAGGAGATCGACGACTCTGGTCTTGAGGCCAAGGACATCGAGCTCGTCATGCAGCAGGCCAGCGTCTCGCGGAAGAAGGCCGTCAAGGCCCTCAAGGAGAACGACAACGACATCGTAAACTCCATCATGGCGCTGAGCATATAGACCACTCGGGTCTAGGTGTCTGGGTGTAAAAGGTGGATGACGACTTCAAACGCACTGCGGAGTCGAAAGACTTCTGCCTGCTCATGTAAAAGAATCTATCAACGTGAATCTTTACGAATCATCGGTGGCCGTCCGGTCCATTCGAAAGCATTGGTTCCCAATGATTGCTATCTTGTCGATATGCGTGAGTGATCAGGAACTAACCAGTCTAGAAACCTTCCAGTCGCAAGATAGAATGGAAACGCTAAGCAGTGGCAGAACGGGGGCTGGCACAACGCAGCTGAAATATTCATGGGGCCAGACGAGCGACTGCATCTACCACTTGGCAGTTTTACCTTCTTCTATTGGAGCATATGGTCTCCCAACTCTGAGTCTTGTGGTAGCTGCAAAGCAGCCCTGCGGAATGAGGTGAGATGCAACAAGCATACCTTCTAGCGGTCGATCATCAGAAGTTTAACATGGCGGCTTCCAGTCATGCGCACTCAGACCCCAGTTCATGTGTCTTGAGGCTCTTTCTGACGTAGAGTTGCTGACAAGCCGATACAGCCTCAAGGGCCATTATGCGTGTGCTAAGTGATGGCTACCAATGGCTTCCATCAATCGCGATATGTTCGTCCAGATTGATATGCCTTTTCCAGGATCGCGGATCGCGGGTCCCGAGACTGAGGGTCAACGTCGTGCTTATGTCGTGGCTGGTGAGATGGGGATCGTGACGCCCGAGGACATTTCCAAACGTGGAACGCGGAATCCTAAACGCGCGGTTGCTCAGCAGCGGCTTTGTCAGGTACCCTTCGGAAAGAAAGCTATCCGGGAGCAGTGTTGTTAGCAATCGTGAATTGCGTGAGGATTGCGAGGTAATAGCGGTGAAGTTGGCGAGGGTGCGATACTCAGCCACAAGCTAACCAGCCACAGCGGCCAAATCCGGATCCCATGAACTCTTCCATCGTCAGCACAGATATGGGGATATCAGCCTCAGCCTTCCGACATGTTCTGGTTAGCTTCTTTCTCATTGTGTCGAAATACCCAGATATACAACGGAAAGTTGACTTTCCGAACGTGTTTCGCACACTCCGTCAGGATTGCGCCTAAATGCCGACTCCACACATCGACAACATCGAGCTCAGCTACCATGCTGCGCGTTGGTCCTCAGCATGGCACTTACCTGATACGCAGTATTCTCCGTAAGGTGCAACGGCGATGATGGTGTTGAAGACGCTGTTAGGGTTCAAGCGACCCACTGTTGCTTACACAGTTGAAACATGTTGAATACACGACCAATGAGCGATCAATCCAAACTCTCGGCATCAAGAATGTGGCTGGTATTATCACAGTATCTCTACAAAAGCTCTTGGGATCAGATCGACCGGGCCGCGAGAGCCATGACCAAGTCGCATAGCCCTTGTTCATGACCCATAATCTGACCACAGCACTTGTGTTTGATGTGTCGCAGACCCATTGCTGCAAGCAGACTGGCCTATCAAGGAGACGATGCTAACACTATCGGACCTATATCGAACGCACGGAGGCCTAAAGGGACGAAGGTTATCTCATAGTTCCTCAAAGGATTCATAATCTTACTTGATGCTTCCGCATTCGACAATTCACAGCTGCCTTCTTCACCCTTGGCACTGTTGTTTGGGAAGCCTGCAACTTCTTATGACGATATGGCGTCGAGAGCTGAACTCATCCCCATGGAACTTTCTTGCATGTGGCTCTCCGTGGATGCCTCACGACACACACATTGGCTATGAGATGACTATAGCTGAGAGGGCCACTCCTACGACAACATCAGCAATAGAAAAGACCTATATAATACTTTGACTATCTTCAACAAACGATGGACTCATCACAGCAAGTTGTCCTTCCCATACATCCTCCTCCATCAACTTCGGTACCCCATGTTCAGTTGAGCTCGGGTTCGAATTGCTATTACATGTCCATCGATCCTACATCTTCTACCAGTCCCAACCACAGCGAATACTTTAACCCACCAGCACGTAGATACCGGGTTCCACAGTTCGCCAGAATGTCTTCCAGCCGAAAGATCACCTCCGTACGTCTCAATCCGCTATATGACCGTCAACACCTATTTCCCGGATGCTAAACTCCAACAGGCCGAAAAGGCACAATACATCCAAGCGCTTCGATCTCACCAGTTCAATACCATCGTTGAACTCGTCCGTGTCGAGCAGGCTTTTGCAAAGCTCGGTACACCGGACTGCAGTGAGCCGATGACGGCGGCTTGTAAGTATCGACAATACTGGTATATGTAGATTGAAAACTGATTGTGGGTATCAGGGAAGTACTACGTCGAGTCGCATGGCCTGTTGACCGAACTTCGTGGATTGACTAGGAACTATCCTTTCAGGTAAACTGCCCATCATGACCCCCCGAAGGGTACACGGTGCCTCCCAAAGCATGTGCTAACCCATCTGTAGTTCTGACTGCCTAGACGAAGCAAAGCGACGTGTCTACGCCGACCCTGCAAGCAACCGCTCATGGAACTTGTGTTGGTTGGTTCTGAACAAGATACAAACTGAGTACGTCTACCAAAACATACACTACATTGCGATTTCGTTTGCTGATCTCAAGACAGTCAGCTACTGCCGTACTATGCGCGTTACCAGGCGTCTCAGCCAGCTATGTGGGCGGGTCAGATCACGCAGCTCACGAATGCTTTTGTTAATGAATGGAATTGGGCACTTGGTCAGATGTTGGGGCGTTGGACGCAGCCGCCGGCGCGATGAGAACGTGCGGATTTCAACGGTTTGGTGTGTTGGTGATGGCGTTGATCGCTATCGAGGTCGCGTTCGGGTTCTTGTATTGCTTGTTTCTCTTTCCTATCGGGTTGCAATCTGTTTACACTCGTTTACCCCCTGGTGGTATAACTCTCTTTATACAATGTCTTATATTACATATCTTGCTTAGCCTCTGTTGAACCTGAAGTCCTCTAGCCTACATCCCAGAGACTTAGGTCGTCCTCATTGACCTAGCCATACTTAGATCTGTCTCATTTATGCTACCATCTGTCGCATCCGCGATAATGGCCTCTTGTTTGTATTACTTTCCGCACTCATAGCGTTCAAGTGTATGCCATTAATCCAGAATGCCTAGCACTATCTGTTCCCGTGATATCTAGGGAAGGTGTGTTTGATATTCATCGGACCGTCTCGCGGTTCGTCACTCCGATAGCAAAGAACGTGGCTTTCGCGGAGAGCTACACCGCTCCTTTTCTCGAGTATCATAGGCTACAGTCCTAGCATTTGAGCCTATACTTGCCGTGCCGGCCCAGAATGTCGCCTGCAAAAGCGGGGTATGTGTAAGTCATGCTATATTGATAGGACACAGAGCCAGCCTTGTCGCCTGGTGGGTGTCTCATCGGTGAGATTTGACGAATGACTATCTGGAAGTGTCGGCTGGATACTAGTGCATGTAGACCTTGTATCAGCTGGTCAGTCTCGAGATTGCTTCCCGCTCGTAGGTCTGTGGATAAGAGCATCGTACCATCCATCGTATCCGGGCAGCATTTTTCGTTACTAGCAATATCCGAAACATCATCCCGAACTTCCATCCAGGCTTCAACATCCCTCACGCCAGTAGGTCTAACATGGCTTCGTATGATAGTAAGGTACGCATGATTCATTCTATACCCGTGGATAGATACTTTGGTGCTGGATGATGCGCTATCGCAAGGTCAAGTGTTCACTACAAAATGCAATACTAACAAGCTATAGCCAAGGATTATCTACGCAGATCAGCCTGGGGATGGAGGATATAAGGTTCGCCCACACTCAACCGAGTCTTCACGACACAACACTAAGCATTGATAGCCAAGACCCAAGGGCGATGATCTTCAACCTTACGATGGGGGCTACAAGGTTCGCAGCAAAGACTAGTCGAAGCTTCTGTGCATGTCACTAAATAGTGATAGCCAAAAGAAATCGCCAGTAGCTCTGACGTACAGCCACGAGACGGATCGTTCTAAGTACGCCCGATCAAGCCCAAGGCCGCACGAAACGACAATGAACCACCAAACGCGAGAGATGCAGTGGACTGGCGACATAGGAGTAAGTGGTAGCTATCGATGGGCGAGGGTGGTGGAAAGTGGATACGGAGATGACAGCGAAGAAATTATGGTACCTATGGCGGCGATAAATTCATCTGCAATGTACTTCTTCTCTCGCAACATGCAACTGTTGGAATCACGTAGGCGGATATATAACACATGGGTTGCACGACTGCAAGCTGTTCACCACAAGCTGCCGTTACCTATTTCTAGTGAGATGATCTAACGCATCCAACCACCAGTCACTTACACTCATCTTGTCCAATTCCTGGGGTTCTTCAGAGATATTGTAAGTGCTGATCATTCGATAGCAGACGTGAGTATCGGTCAAACATTCATTACATATAAACATTACATTACCACACCACCCAAGCCAAAAAAGCTCAAAGCATACTCCTTCTCTTCGCCAACTTCTGATACTGCCTCGACGTCCTCGTCTGCCCATCCTCCATCTCATAATCCGACGCTATACTACCGGGCCTAACAGTCACAGGGGGTCTGAGACTCTCCACCGCACTAGCTGGCCGAAGCTTCGTCGGCGCAGAACGCTCTCTCATACTGAATCTACGTTTGACCGTTTCGGCTATCTGGGCGAAGAAGCCATTCACACCTTTGCCTTCTCTTGGTGGAGCTTCATGGAGTGGGCTGTGGGTATGACTATGCATGTGGACGTGCGGCTGGCCGTGGCCGTGGCCACCGAGGAGATGGGACTTCTCGCCGGGCTCCATGTATAAGTGGTTGCCCTCGTGGTTTACGAACCAGTTCACCATGTATTGTTTTCCTTCTGGGCCGCCGCCACAAGATCCGGCGAGGACGTGCGATGGGGGCGAGTTGACGGCGAGGGCAAAGAGGTTGGGCGGTTCGCAAAAGTCTGTCACCAGGCCGCGGTGGAAGATGAAGTAGATGAGGACAAAGACGTTCATGGCGAAGACGAGAGCAAGTATGAGTACCCATGCTTTGGAAGCGCCGGGCATGCCCCCGGATGCATATTGTTGGGCTTTGAGCGAGGCGTTGAAGTATTGCGTTTGGTACTCGTCGAGCATAGGGTGGGAATAGTTCTGTGGGTTGTGTCAGCGAATTCGCTAGTGAGGGCTACGAAGTGGCAAGACGCCAACAACAGAAAAAGAAAGAGTTACACACCCAGAACGTCACAAAAGGCGTATCCACCATACTCAACAGCAAGGTGCATCCAGCCAAAACAGCCAGGGCCTCCCCTAAACTGGGTATGGCATTGCTTAGGTCGACCTGAAGGTTTTCTGGATCCGGATTGGTAGGCTTCAATACCAATTGTGTCAATAGTCTGGATGTACTCGCATTTGCATCCATGAGGCCTGTGCCGAGTGACAGACTGTTGGACCAGTCAGTACCTATGTCGCGCCAATTAGCCACGCCCTTTGTATTGACGCTGACTTCTTCGCCCGTCTCGACGAAGGCCTTTTTGTCGTTGGGGTCTTCGCAAAGCGCTTCCATAGTCGCGCCCGAGCCGGTGACATTATGACGTGTACTGCATCCTGGTCTCACCGTGAGGTGTAATTTGCACAATGAGAAGATGCCTGTCCCATCCATGCCAACATCATCTGGTCCTCCTTGTCCTAGCAGGTAGATTGCGGATCGTCCCCAGGCAAAGCTAGTGTGGTTCATGATTGTGTTGAAAGGCAAGGGGTATTTGCCGAAGACGGGCGGCCAGTTCATCGTGGTTGTTGTGTCGTTAACGTCCCAGCCGAAGATGTCATCCACCACAGTTTGGTTGGTTGTGGTCGCGTTGTCCCTGATACCGGGAACGTTTCCCCAAGAAAGAAGATCGACCACCTCATCGTTCCAGGCGTCGTATACAATAGGCTCCAGCTCGGTCCTGTTCATGTTTACGCATAATACGTTCAATACTGGTGACGGCACCGAAGCGCGCAACGAGTAGGTTCCTTCGGAGTTTAGCTCTTCAGGCTGCAGGATTCCGTTTCTTTGGTCGCGGGCAGCAGCGAACACGCCTGAATGAGGCATTGCCATTGTCACATTGTTGATAACCCTACCGTACTTCTGGGAAACCTCAGTAGTGTTGACAATATCGATCCATTGCCCAGTGACCGTAGTGTTCTCGTACAGAAGCCCAAAGCCCTGCGGTCGTAGCTTCTGGATTGAAGTGCCGTTGCCGTTCCTGGCTGATAGATCCCAATCCGAGAGGTAGCGCTGAAAGTTGTGGTATCCTTGGCCAGCGTGTTCCATCTGTAGACAAGTTTCTCCTTGAGCTTTCTGGTCGGTTCGAATGGGCGTTTGACACATTTCCTTGAGGTAGTTGATGTTTGCGAAATCGCTTTTGACACGGCCAGCCAGAACCAGGCCGTTATCCCAATTACCATCTCTTAGCATAGGCTGAACAGTAGCGGCAGCTGCAGATGAGTAAAGCGTCGCCAAAACAGCGCTCAGCAAACTCAGTATGCCCAGAAAAGACAGTCCAGCATACTTTGCAGTCTCCCAGTGGGTGATCAAAGTGCCTATCACAAAAAAGTCAGAACACGCCTCACAAACGATCCACACAGGACATCTGCTTACCTGGTTGAACGACCCACCTCCACATACTAAGTTCCGACAACGTAACCCCCCTCCCATGATCCTTCATAAACGCCCTCCGACTAAGCACCTGCCCAAGGAAAGCCACAAATGCCGTCACAAAAGACAACTCAATAAGCTTGGCCATGACCGTCGTGAGTAGGATAGCATCGGCGGGCGTAATAGGCCCATGGCTAGTAATGCGCCGCCCATAATGAGGGGCACGGATAGCCAGGGCCAAGAAGATGCCAGAGAACAAGCACGAGAACAGCGATATGACAATCAAAGACAAATTGAGCCAGGTGATGCGTGGGTGGTAAAAGTCTCGTGTCGTCGCGCATTCATGAATTGGGCGAAAGTCGTTCTCGTATGCTGACTTGATCGAGGGAGCGGCGCCTCCTCCTCGGAGTCCATCGGTATCAGCGGAATGTATGTATGTTTCGTACTCATTTATGCTGCTGTTGCTTTGCTTTGCGTTCTTGAGTATGCCGTGCCGAAACTCTTCGTACGTGCCGACGTCAGGACTTGCTCTACCAACATCGGGGCTGAACCTGTCTCGTCGCAGATCGGGTGTGGACTCGTTTGAGCTCTTGGGGAAGCCTCCAAAGTATGGGTCGGCTGAGCCTAGAGGCGAGAATGCGCCGGGGCTCTTGGTGGGCGGGCTCTTGGGGCCAGGACCGACGGCTCGTCGCGGGATGGGTTGTATGCTAACGCGCCTGGCGGTCTGCGTTGTCGCGACAGGGGATGTTGCTATGCCTAGTCCATTGTCCTTGCCGCGTTGGAAGCCGTCTGCAATGTCTTCTTCCTCTTCCTCCTCCTGTACGATACTTGGTGTGTTGCGACCGACGGCGGTGGTATCGCTCTGTAGCCGTGCGTAGTGCGGTCGCGCAGGCGGCGGGGTAGTAAGCCCGAGAGTATGGGAGTTGCTGGAGAAGCCGAGCGAAGGCAGGGCGGGCGTGTTGTCTGAGCTCTCAGAGAGGTCCGAGGACTCCTGCATGAGTGGCCGGCGGTCGACCATGATGCCTGGCGGATAGCGCCCCTCTTGCTGTTGCCTACGTTTCAGCCTTCTCTTCTTATAGTGTTCTTGCGGTCGGTATTGGCGGGAGGCTGCGCGAGGCCGCGTTTGTATGACCTGGGGCTGCAGGTGAGCGGCTCAGCTTGGATGCGACGGCAAGACTTCACGACAGGGGATCGAGGAAATAGACTGTCGCAAAGAGAAGAGACGACATGGCAAGGTTAGTCGGCGAAAAGCCTGAGGAATAAGGCCTCAAGGGATGACCCGACTGTCCGCTGCGGTTGCACGCACGTTCAGCTGTCTCTGGGCGGCTGCACGCTGTTCGCTTGTGGCGCTTGATTATGGCCCCCAAACTACATCCAGACCACTCTGCTGTGCCTCGTAGTGGTCCATAGTCTCCATAGTGCCTCTTCTAACCGGTAGCGAATGCGCAGCTGTCAATCACGGCTGCTTGCGCTTTGTGAGCATGTCTCGCCGTTCGGCAAGCTTGACGAAGCTTGTGTCTCCTTCTGCAGTTTGCAATATGCCCTGCGCAGCACTGCAAACAATCATTGCCAAGCTGTAGGCAGACGACATCAGGGTGTCTCAATGGGCCTGGTGATGCGTGACAACCCTTGGGCGGAATCAATCGGGTTTGGTGATGTGGTACATGGTGGAGTGTTGGGGTTCAGCCCCTCCACGCGTCGCGTTGTGAGCTAGCAAAGCACCAACACGGGACGGGGTTCACGCCTGCGTTCTACCCGATAGCCTTGACATGCTCGTCTACCAAACACTTCCAGTCCGCACTCCCATAATAAACTGTATGCCCATCATCATGCGTCAACTGCCCCGTACTCTGTACCGTATCCCCCAGCTGCCAAAACAGATCCGCCGCCATCCCACTATCTCTCAACGACAGGCTGGTCTTCTGCCAGCCCCCCTCCACAGGACAGTGATCCTCCTTCTTGGGTACACCATATTCCTCAAAAAGACACGGTTTGTTGAGCTTTTCACAAATCTGAGCATGCGCTTCAATCCAGCCGTCGCCAAACGAGTTGCTTACGCCCCAGCTATCCGGGTACAGATGGAAGGTGCCGAAACTGATGTTGCCTAATTTCAAATTTGCTTCCCAGTCTATGCCTTCGGTGTACTGGTAGGGGTAAGAGCCGTCGCCTGAAAGACCGAAGCCCTCATCGCCCACGGTGATCATGTGGTCCGAGTCGAGAGAGCGGATGTAGTCACTCGTTTGGCGGATCCAGTTCGTGAGGACAGACGTCTGGCAGAGACTGCAGCGCGGTTCATTGGCCAGTTCCCACGCGAACACGGCGTTGGAATTGCGATAACGCGAAATGACAGCTTTGATGTACGCCTGGTACATTGTCTGGCATTTGGTCGCTGTGTACCATTGCGCATTGCTGATTACGCCGCACGCGGAGAAGTAGGCAGCCATGCCCCCGTAATCGGTCCAGTTGTTTACAAAGTTGATGATGAGCTTGATTCCATGTTTTTCTGCAGCATTGACTACGGCTTCGAGGCGCTGGAGACCATTTGTGCCTGTGTTGATCGTGGCGGTAGATCCAGAGAAGGACTGGAAGTATACTGTGCCGGAATCTGGAATGGTTTTGACGTCGTTGAAACCCCATATCCGGAGTATTTTCTGGCCTGAGGTGGCTAGGTGGCCCATGATTACGTCGACATCGTTATCGTTTGTCAAGAAAGGGATCCAGTAGGAGTTGGTTCCAGCGTAATCTAATGACAATATGAGTGGTGCGAAGATGGCTAGCGGTCTGTCGACTTACACTTGGTAACACCATCAATGTTGAACTTGAGACCATCGGCTTTTGAGATGGAGGCTCGCGGGGACAGATCGATTGCTGAGGGCAACGCTGTCGCAGCTGCGCCTAGGGCAAGTATCGGGAGTATCTTCATGATGCTGAAATGGGACTTCGGTTTCGGTGAGTGTGCAGCCATTGCTATGTAGGGCTCGCTGCCACAGAACTTATAGGAATCCGTCGCGACTACGCTCAATACTTACTCGAAGTGGAGCGGCACAGGGCTCTCCGCTTTGAATTGGATCACACGGCAATCGTACCTTGAAGTGACTCTAGTTGTGGGGTAATATAGTAGCCAAGGTCCTAGCATGGTCGTAATTGGTGCACTAGAGACGAAGGGGCTTCCTTTCAATTACCACATTTGGCAAGAATGCATCGGACCGCCAGCTCCCGCATTACATCGAGTAGATTTTTATATCTCTGGAGATATGTGAGAGGAAAATAATCAGTAATCGCGACAGTTGCGTAAAGCATATAGCAACCACGGAGGCGAAGTTGCAGAATTTCCCCGCGGCTAACAAACCATGCAATGTATTCGGCACAGACTTTCCGACAAACCAGCATCAACGAAACAAGGATTGTACCCGGTAGCGGAAGAGGCGATGAAACGAAACAACTGATAACGAACCAAGGAAGACTCGATAGTAGGAGAAGTTGTCATAACTTTTATTAGGTAATGGAAAAAACATTGGCGAGTCGGCTGGAGTGAATTGCAGCATCGTTTTGCACCAACTTCTTTCGCAGGCTCCGTAGGCGTCTTGATAGTGTTGTCTATCTTGACGTTCGTGAACGCACAGTCTTTGGCTTTGAGTGGAGCTTTGGTGGAGATGCGCAAACGTCCGTGGCGCTGAGAGGTGACAAGAACAAGCAATACGCAGAAATGCAAATCCAGGATGAGCAAAGGTCTCTAGATGAGAAGGTGGCAGTGTGATGAGGCGAATGCGAATGCGAAAGATGACTAGCAATCAACAGAGCCGATCAAACGATAATGCTAACAAGGAGCACCAGGTCCAATGCGGCCTCCAGACGATAATGAACTTGATTAATCGGCAGTCGCCCGCTGATAAAAGCAAGCAACCCCAGCGTTCGGATAATATTAGGGAGAACGGGAGAAGTCGTTGAGAAGAAGAAAGCCTTTATCCCGACTTTGCCCTGCCGCTCGCTTTACCTGGGTCATGTCGAGCATAGGGCTGCAGCGACGCACGTGCGCGTACAGAGTCTGCCTGCATGTCCTGGAGCTGAGGTGTGTCAGTGCAGGTCCTTCTATTTCATATCCCATGAAGTGATATGCGCCAAACCATGTCAATGTAATACCAATGATTGGCGCCGAACCAATGTACTACTGATCTACTACGGCACTTCGTGTCGAGGGACCAAGGCAAGGATAGCGATGGCGAAGTTTAGTCCTTCTATCTCCACGCTAACGGTCGCGAGAACGGTGCTCGGATCAGATCCACCCTGTTATTTCATCCTTTTTCTTGCTTTCTGAAAACCAACATGCATGGCGTAACCTGAGGAGATTTGCTGACGGCGTGTCGTTCGTAACGAAGGCGCCCAACTCTGCACCAAGTGGTCTGGATTGCAGGCCTAAGTCGAGCAGTTTGATCCGGGCGGTGATGGCATGGCAGACGCAACCGTGTGGTACGGACGCCTAGTGTGGGGGTAGTTGGAGCTATACAACATGGTGGACGTCAACGACGCCGCCAACTGTCAGCAAGTCAGATCGCGATAGTGAGCAACCACCGGTGAGTAACCTGACGTGGGCGGTGAAAGATGGCGAGTCATCCAATAGTGGGACAACCATTCGGAGTCGGGGTTCTTTTCGGTAGGCGCCTTTCCAACTCGGAATATGCGTACAGACAGTCGCATGCTCGATGATGCAGTCGACCTTGATCTGGCAGCGGTCGCGCATTGTTTCCCATGCCGTGCAACCCGCATCTTGCTTATGGGCTGCAGAGCTGACCTTGTGTAGCGGTACACAGAACTAAGATCTGAGCTAGTGCCGTCGCGTGGCGTAACCGAAGTACAGGCAGCGTTGGGAACGATGACCACGAGTCTGGTGTTGCATGTCTCAGTCCCACGCGAGGCGCGTAAGACGTGGGAACTCGAAGTCGAAAGCGCACGGCGTAACTTGCCGTTCCAGTTAGTGCCCCGCAGTGTCGCCGTTGGAACCAGAAGAGGATATGAGCAGGGACGTCGTACTAGATGAAGCAAGGAGAGGTCTGCCCTGGGTACGTTTCAGGCCCAAATTTGAGGATCTGGCTTTTGAAAAATGAGACAAGAGGGCAAAGCAAAGCGTTGTGGTATAGCATCCCACACATCAGCTCTCTAGGATAGCCCTGGAACGTGCTGCACATTGAGGCTCGGGCCGGTTAGGGCCGGAAATGTGACCTGGACTATCGAGTCTGACCCCGGGTCCGCGTACACGGTTGATCGACCATAGCGGCCGAACGCGTACAGTATCGAATTTTCCGCGCTCGGCTGCGGCAGAGGCCTCTTAATTGCAAGGATCCCGCACCTCCTGAATAATCTTCGTGTTGGTCAGGCGAAACCATGCGTGACCGGTCGCCTGGTGCTGAATTACTGAATGACCTATATTGTATTTGTACGACGCATATTCGTTAAGAACGGCTGCGATTGGAAAAGCAATCGCATCGTTCCTAGAATTACTGAACGTGGTGTTGCCGAAGACTACCGAATGTCCGTGCTGGAACGTTCAAATGGGCGTACGGCATGAAATTTGACAGCAAGAGCTGATCGTCCTTCGTCGGTGGCCCACCACCAGGGCGATATGACACGAGAACCAACGTCTGCCAGGAGGTTCGTGGAAAAACAATAGACATGAGAAATTGCCGTTCTTACTCGAGGTGCTTTCTGCCAATGACATCCTTTGGAGAATGACGCACAAGCATTTCAGCCACCGCCGATTCCGACTTTCTAAGGCCCGAGCCCTGCGAGCACCGTCACAGTTCCTCACCTCAGCCTCCCTCAAAACAAAATCCTGCCAAGACTAGGCGGAAGCGGGGGGTAGACCGCGGTGCCCTAAAATCTCCCGCTCCTCTTGCTTCCTGTGATTCCAGAAACTAGCAGGCTTTCTTTGAGCGTCGTTCGTTGTCCCCAGGTCGTCCAGTCGCCATGAGTATTCGGATAAATGCGACGGTCCAAGAGGCCCGAACAGCTGCAAACCACAGCCAGGAACAATGGGACCGATTCTACGTAGGTATACTCTTGTCGCAAGGGTATGCTTGGCTAACGGGACTAGTTCATAACCAAAGACGAGGCCAGGCAGCTTGCGGAGGCGCACCCTGACTGGAAAAGATGGATCCTCATCCCCGCGAACGAGAAAGAACAAATGCTGGAGAGGATCAACGCCCGCCTGAGTGCTGAAGGTATCCCACCTGTCGAGATGATCATCCTGAAGTGGCGAGTGTCGCAGTTACTCCGAGACATCCAGCGGAAATATGGTATGTGCATTTGTGCCCAACTCTGGTGACTCGAGGTAGCGGTCGGCTACGGTGACGCCCTATACAAGTACATTAGCTGATTCAAATGACTTTGCAGAAGCCGGCAGCATGCTACAAGGGATGCCAGGCACGAGCTCAGGGTCAGGATCGGGGTCACCAATACAAGTCCAGACAGCCCAATCGCCTCCAGACAGCAGCGTTCAGTCATCGAGCCCACAACGAACGGAGTATTCACCAAGCGAAACTCGCCCATACGATCCAATACGGGATGTGTAAATCCCAAGCCCCCGGGAGGAAATCTGTCTTTCACAGCGCGCGTTCAAAGTCGAGAACAGGAACACCCGACGAATATTTGGTATTCGAGCCTGATACCCCAGACCACAAAGCGCGGCGTGCATAGCGAGGAAAGAGCAAACTAGCGAAACCACCTCACGAGGAGACGGAGCGCCATAGGATCCAGCAAGCTATGTTTGTGCGATCGTTGTGGAGGCTTCGAGGAGACGCATCGGCAAGAGATATCGTGTCGAGCGAATCGGACTATACAACCGCAGCGTTCCATGCGGCTGCACCGAGCGGGCTCGACTCGGAGTTGTGTATAGTGCTCTGGTACGTAGCCTGGGCAGTGCCGAGGGTGTCGTGCGCTGCCCAATCCGGTATTTGCCTACTTCCAATGTCTCTTGCTTGCTTTTCCATGTACCTGCAGCTTTCCACACGTCTCAATTCCCCGACGCTGGCTACTCATTGTTGATTGGCACGCAGCGTGCATCTGGCCTTGGCGTCGTGGCTTTTCCGTCCCCGTGCATTGTGCATACAGCCCAATCTCGAAAGAGTCGGAAACAATGACGGTTCTAGACCGCGCATGGCATTTTCTCCGGTTTCTTTTGGCGTTTCCTTTTCGACGCTGCCCTTTCGCATGTCTCAATCTAGGAACAATGCATTCTAGTATTGGACGCTATCAAATTCCGTCTCCTGTTGTTCCAACGAGGTATACTCATTCGCTGCTAACAATGGAAGAAAGAAACTCTTGTGTATGTCGTGTGGGCCAGCGTCGCAGGGAAAGGGTCGCTAAGCGTCGAGTCGTGGAGCGAGTGGGCGAAGCGGTCTTGTATGACGCAGCTGAGGGCAGCTCATCGGTGTGTCCTTCCGAGGTCGGCTAGGCTGATCGATCGTTAGATGCTCCTACTGTCTCATGAGCTGCTCACCCCGCTCGTCAGAGGGATGTGGTTCATCTGCATAACAACTCTGGCCATCGCTGGAAGCGTGAGTAATGGATAATCATGGCCTGCAGAGTTGATCGGGCATCTCTGGACTTCCAGGCTTGTAGGCCCGAGGATGTTACCGGCGTGAAGGTTCAATGCTTGCTTGCTGGCCAAGGAGCGTGTGCGGGAGCGTTGTGACATCAGAGGGGAGCCGCACGTCTGTGTGACGACCACGCCATCGTGTTGGAGGTTCCTAAAGGATGTGGCATCGTAGATGATGATACCGAGCCGGATGACAGCTTGATGAAGAGGGTGAAAGGTCGTGAGGACTGGAGACAGAACACGTCCGACGTGACTGCCTCCAAAGTATGGTACCCTAGCAACTAGTACTTGCCTCATCCATGTCAAAGGGCAGCCACACCCACTTCTCATCTTCAAACTCTTGTACACAACGGCTTCCTGTACTCTCTACATCTCCCAGTGTCCGAGATTCGACTGCGACACGCGGAATGCATCCCACTATCACGCGTCTCACACGGAGTGAACTAGGGGCACAGTCGCCACTACCCGCATCGCTCTACCGCGTCTCTCAGCCTCCTGCATCTCAACACCGGTAATGAGAGCTGCAGCGCCTCGCAGATCTGTCGGGAACTGGGTTCAACAAGGTCAAGAGGCTTTCCCAGATCTTTCTCAACCGAGCCGAGCCTTCTGCGGACGACGCTATACGTCGCGCACCCAAGACAGTACTAACGGCGGATAAAGGCTTCACTGCAGCTTTAGTACGGAATATCCATTGTACTAATTAGTTTTGTTCTTGTGCAGGAAGCTCCATTGTTTGCCCAAGAGTCGTTCACTCTGGTGAGCAGCCAAGACCCACAATGGAAGGAGCACTAGCCGCCGTTTGACAGCTGCTTCTTCCCGTAGCCTGGTTCAACACCGGCCCTACTCTCCCGTCAGAGTTCAAGCTGCATCGTGCAGGCTGATGGGCCTGTCGCGAGCTGCCTGCTGGGACCTTCCATGGAAATCTCGTCAGTGCACCGTGGTCGTCGAGACGAGATTGCTGGGTACCGGTGACTATGTGACTCCCGCCTGAGCATCTCTCCAGCATCAGCGGTAAGTGGAACTCACAAACGCATCGTATGTTAACCTCAGTGTCCATGTTGTGACACAACAGTAGTGCAGCGGAGTGACACGAGGGATCTTGTCCCTCCGACCTGCTCCTCCGTCGTAGCAACGATGCGGACAGCTCGGTGACCCCTCAACGCAGCGGACCAACGTCCGTCACCGAATGCAGCTCACTGCATACATGTACCCACCATACCCACCTCGAACGCGCCGTGCCCATATTGACGGCTCCACCCGTACCTCATTACGATCACGCGAATACGCTCGGTAGCGCGGCCTCGACGGCCATATACACTCTCGGTTGGAATGAGGCAGTGCTATCGAGCCGCCTGGGCTTAGCATATACCGTTAGGCTGGACTGGACAGCTGCCAGGCGCAGCTTGATGTACCACAGTGGAGCCTCATGCATGCTGTATGCTGTGTCTTGCAGGACATGTATTGCTACAGCCACGTCGTAGTACAAGGGGCAGGGCCTTTCCGAGGATAGATGTCTTGAATTGTCTGCTGTCATCATAGCGATACATGAATCGCCATGGCAGTCCTTCTCAGTCCTCATTCAGACGATCGGCGCCGTTAGATCGGGCTATCGCTTGAACTCCTCCGCTCTGCCATGCCCAAATGAAGCTATGGAGCGGCAAGAACGCATCACGCCACACATCCGGTACTGAGAGCCCTGGCTACCAGCTGCGCTAGGCTTTGCTGCCACCGCTGCATACATCAAAGACACGCATCGTGCTGAAGGTACTGAGAGTATCATGGCTCATGTGCGTGTTGATATCGAAGTGAACCAACACAAGACTCCCAAGTACCCATAACAAGGGGGTCGCGACTGGAATCTGTTTCCTAGGCACCATGGCGCCAGACAATGCAGTCGCAAAGATACTTTAGTGATCATAGACTCAAATGGGCAGGGTGTGTATAGTGTTCTCAGAACACAATCTAGTACCAGGTAGTATTTGACACCTGGAACGCTCTACTCCCTGAACATGTACTGGCCACCATATTGTCGCTTACATTGATGAACGCAATCGTGTCACACAGCAACATCACGTTATTTGAAGTCAAGTCATGAAGTCCGAGAAGAGTTTAGACAATCCCTCTTTGTTCGATTTTCGGACTCCAGTCGGCCCATATCGTTTCAAACGTAGCAAGACATCACTCTAGCCACATCAGTCGACGCTCCAAAAACCCCAAATCGAGACGTTGCCCAATCGCAGGTGGACATAGTGTCCTGGTATCATTGATATCATAACCACGGCCAAGCGTAGCTAGCCAGAGACCATAACGAGTCTCTTTCCGATGCCACCAAAGCTTCCATGTCATAATTCATATTCCCTATTCCCCGTGTTTTTGCCTTTTTTGTATTCGTGGTGGACCTAATCTGACCAACTACCCTTGCATACCAAAGCCAGGCTCAATGCCAGCCTGCTTCAACGCCTTTGCTTTCCGCGAATCCGCCTCTTTCTTCTCTGCTTTTTGGGACGCCGCCAGCGCGCGGACTTGGTCTTCTTCGGCGAACATGGCGCCTTTGGGGTGTTCTTCTCGGTCGAGGTCGACGGTCGCGCATATGGTGACGTTCTCGCCTCGTACGGTCATGACGCCGGGGAGCTTGACGTCGTGTATCAGCCAGCGGGGCACGGAGAGGTCGGAGGGCGATGCGTCGGGGTTGCGGGCTGCTATTCGCTCGTAGCATTCTGTGAGGACGAGGTTGGCTGGGGAGTGTTAGCTGCGGTATCGATGACGCGGGGAGAGTTGGTGGTGGACGCACCGAATTGGTCGTAGGAGCGTAATATGCCAATGTACTCTTTCTCGTCACGCAGTAGTACGTCGACCTTTTCTGAATTGTGTCAACGTCATGTCCTCTCAGACTCCGGGCTAGGCGTGTCCATACTGTCCACCATGTCTAATAGCATTGCCGATGTCAGGAAGGCTTGCGGTGGGAGGTCGACGGGGAGTACAGGGGGCGGCGCCTGCCCTCGTGCACCACCGAGCATGTTCGCATGTTGTGGTGGTGGAGTGGCACTGTATACGCCTTCGTAACCTGGGGCGGTATTAGCACTGCGCCATTGTGCGTGTCGGCGGGGGTCGTGGCTCACCAGAAGACGGCGAGGGCCCGCGTGGAATCTCGGAGCCCGGGGGTTGCAGCTGTCCAGGTGCCTGCATGGAGCGCTGGAGCATGGCGTTGAAGTCCGGGCCCATGTTTGGGGCACCTCCAGCGGCCGCGGGGCCTCGTGGTGGGCGTTGGTTGTAGGCCATTGTGGGAGGTTGCGCAGTGAGTCGGGCGAGAGTAGTGGTGTTGGTTTAGCGTTTGCGAGGGGGCGATGGATATGGAGCTATCATGGCGAGGCGGCGCATACAATTCTACCTTCACTCGCGTGTTTACGTCGTTGACGCTGCCCGAAATCGCCAACCACTCACGTATGCCAAGCCCCGCTAGTCATGAACTCTGGATGGGAAAGACGTCTTGCATCATCCTAACTTCTATCCATTTGTCGCTACGTCTCATTGCCTAGCTATACTCGCTCATAATACGACCTCGGGAAGCTCCTCTGTTTAATTTCGGGGTTGTTGGGAAAGAATTCTCGTGCAAAGATACCCATTTGTTCACTGAAGTAGAGGAGCTCTTCTGCGCAGCCCTCAGCATCCAGATCAACGCCGTCTTGAGGAAACATCGATATCGTGTAAATCCCAGTGGACATTCGAGTTCTTCATATTAGACTGTACACAATTCTCGACTTGTTACCCAGTACGTGTCGTGCGGTCTGAGAGACTGGACAACACTCGTGGACGAATCGGAGCTGAGCTACGCCGCAAGAGAGCTCCATTTAGGGCGAGCCTTCTTCCTGCATTTGCGCTCTGTTTCCCAATCATATCGTTCTTTTTTTCAATCGCACTCAGCTCTCAATATATTCTCTGCTACAGTGTGCTACACTTCAACTCATCGGTAGACTATCCACCTTCTTTTCATCCACGATGGCTGGCATATTCAGAGTCTTCAAAAGTAAATGGATCACACCACCAAAAGAGGTCCATGAAGATTACACTGGCAGAAACATCATTGTGACTGGCGCGACTTCAGGCATCGGCGTAGAGGCAGTCTTCAAGTTTGCGAAATTGGGTGCCGCCAAAGTCATCATTGCTGCGCGCGATGTGAACAAAGGCGAATCCACGAAATCGGCTCTGGAGGCTCGGCTCGGACGCAATGATCAGCTGGAGGTTTGGGAACTCGATATGATGTCGTATGACAGCGTAGAAGCTTTCGCCAACCGCGCAAATGCGCTTGACCATCTCGACATAGCTGTGTTGAACGCTGGTGCTTGGCGAGTCAAGTTCATACAATCAAGATATGGATGGGAAGAGGACATACAGGTCAACACACTGTCTACAACACTTTTGGCCCTTTTGCTTCTACCAAAACTGAAGGAATCCCAACAGCACACTGGCAGAATTCCAGTCCTGGAGTTTGTCAACTCTGGTCTGCACCAACGCGCTGTTGTCCCACCAGAAGTCCGGCAAAAGCCCAGCGTACTCGAGCACTACAATAAAGAAGAAAACCACAAGGAGGGTAGCCAGTACAAGTTCTCCAAGGTCTTCCTTATGTACGCTACGAACAAGCTTGCCGAAGAGATATCTTCAGGCGATGTGATCATTACCAGCATCTGCCCTGGTTGGGTCAATACCGACTTGGGACGCGACCGCTTCTTTCCTGGCGTGCACATATTGGCGTTCTTCTTCATCTTCTTGTTCATGAGATCTGCGGCTTCTGCTGCGAACATGGTGTTGAGTGGGACCACCCAGGGGGAGAGTGTACATGGCAGGTTTTGGAAAGAGGACAGCATTCAGCCAACTCCACCGAGCCTGGCAGGGCCTGAGACGAAGGAGCTGAGTGCAAGGATGTGGGATGAGATTATCGATGCACTGGAGAAGGATGTCCCACATATCAGCAAGGCGGTTGATGCGGCATTGTCGAAGCGCTGAAGGTTGGCGGATTTAGAACCTAGAATTAGAGAAGACAAGACTACCAAGAAACTTGATGCGTAGCTGTATGGTGAATTGCAAAAGACGGTGCCGTGTTGCCAGACCCAGGGGCCAGCTGACATGTGGCTGAGACTAGAGGCGCAGGCACCTCCACACATGACGTACCGGCAGCCGAATTGGAGCATCATAGTGCCTAGAACATGCATCGGGTGCCTCGAAGCCTGCGCAATCCCTCGTCCAGCAAAGTCAGACAGCTGCAGCCCGCTGAGTCGGCTGAATGCCCAAATCGCCCTTCCGCCGCAAGCCCGCCGCCCACGGTCCCTCGTCCCTCCTGCGCTTCCTCTTCCCCCGGACTCGAGCACGCGCGCGCCTTCACCTCTCCAAGTTCCGCCACGACACGCTCCACTCGCTCAAGAACAGCGCCAAGGCCCGCATCTACAAATACATCGTCTACCGCCAGGCTGCCAAGGCGCAGGGGAAGCAGGGTATTGTTCAGCGCCTACGAGGCTACACGCGGAGGTTGAGCGGCCGCAGCTATCTCGAAGATGCTGCGAGGCTGCGACGACAGCAGATAGCCACGCGTCCGGGAACTACACCTTCCGGCAACAAAGCAATGACGTACCAAGAGAGCTACGAGGCGCGAGAGCCTGGCACGCGGAGACGGAAGCTGGCGGGCTATCTCAAGGCCGCGAACGAACTCCGGCAGACGTACACGCAGCAATATGCCTCCAACTGGAGTAGCAAGGAGGCACAATATGACTACGAGGACGATACACCAGGCGGATTCCCAGATGCCGCCGTCGTTAGAAGCGGGCGGGAGGAGATGATACTCTTTCCCAGCTATGCCCGGCGACACATTAAGCGGAAGCCAGAAGCACAGCCAGGCACCATCCAAGAGACGGAAGGCCAAGGGCGCGACGTTCGAGACTCGACCGGCGCCGGCGATGCCGAGTTCTGGAAGCAGCAATGGAACAACTACGAGGATGACAACGCGGTCGTCGACGTCGATGTGCGCGGCTGGATATACTCGCCACACAGGGGGCAGATGTCACGGAAGCAGAGGCTATTCATCGGTCTCGCACGGCAGTTAGTCGGCGTACAGGCACCTGCTACGCCCAACTCATCCGCGGAGAGTAGTCGCGATACGAGTCCGCAACGGCATGGCTTCCGCGAACGAGCCCACCTGCGCGACGCCCAACAAGACGAAGCCATGGCAGCTAGAGAGGCCGAGGAAATTCTACGGAGGGGCGAGAGAGAGGCAAGAGCTGCAGCACGCGGTGCTTACAGCGAGAGGCCAGCCAAGGACATGGACGACACGCAGCTATACCGGACAGAGAGTGGGAACAGCACGCGGCCGAACAACGGCAGGACCCACCAGCTCGCTCACAGCACATCCAAGGATTCCATGAGAAGCGAAGCCAGTATTCAACCGTTGCAGAAGAGAGGGTCATGGAACCAGCCGTCGGAGATGAGCCCATCAGAACTCGCTGAAGCCAACGCTCGGTTGATGGCTCGGCTGCGACATTTCCTAGCGATACCCATGGCCAATACTCCCATCAGTGTCTTCTTCTACAATGAGAACATATCGAAACAGAGGACCGTATACACCGACGCTGCAGGCCATTTCAGTATGAGCGCGGCTTTGGACTTCGTACCCACCCACGTTCGCATCTTAGCATCAGACAAGCTATCGGCAACCGAGGAAGTGATTGTCACTGCCTCGCAGGGTATCAGCATAATCAGCGACATTGATGACACAATAAAGCACTCCGCTATTGGCAGCGGCGCTCGCGAAATCTTTCGCAACGTCTTCATCCGCGACCTAGTCGATCTCACCATCGATGGTGTCAGAGAGTGGTACAACAGAATGGCGGAGCTGGGAGTCAAGTTCCACTATGTCTCCAACTCGCCCTGGCAGCTATATCCTGTCATCTCCAAATACTTTGAGTTAGCTGGACTACCACCAGGCTCATTCCACCTGAAGCAATACAGCGGTATGCTCCAAGGCATATTCGAGCCCGTGGCAGAGAGAAAGAAGGTCACTCTGGATAAGATCGCAAGAGACTTCCCAGAACGAAACTTCATCCTAATCGGAGATAGTGGCGAGGCGGATCTGGAGGTTTATACCGATTTCGTGCTTGAAAATCCTGGGCGAGTTGTCGCCGTTTTCATCCGCGACGTCACCACGACAGATAGCCCGGGCTTCTTTGATCCTTCCACCGGGTCCTCACCAGGCGACCACTCTTCATCAACACCATCGACACAACGTAACAGTGGTGGTAGCTCGGCAGCTTCGACTAAGGCTCGACCGCCATCTGAAGAGCACGACCCTGAACTGAAAGCTGCCATTGCAGCCTCATTACGTGACATGGATGCGGAGAACAACAAGCGTCCAAGTTTGCCTAATAGGAAGTCCTCTCCGCACACCACATCACAACAAGCTTCCTCGAACAATCTGATAGACCTATCCTCCGACGATGAGGTAAATGATTCACCCGCGCTGAGGAAGTTCAATAGTGAAACTCAAGCCGACAACGAAAGACATCGCTCATCAGTCGCCTCGAACGCGAGTATGAAGTCTGCGCCGCCGCCTCCTAAGAAGCCAGTCGCTTTAAGGAGCCCGTCGACGGAATCATTCAATGCGCAATCCACTTCCAACCCGCGACCGCAACCACCTAAGCCCCGAAAAACCTCAGCGGCTGTCACTCAATCCAGTCCGCTTGCACAGCAAGTCAGTGCTTCAAGAAGCGCAAACACATCAGCACTCTCCAAGCCTCCAGTGGGACCTAAGCCATCTATGAGCTACCAGAGCCAGGCGTCAGAGGACCAGCAGTCATACGCTGGTATGGCTCGCGACAAGTTGTGGTCTGTCTACAGTAATCTACCCGCACTGCGTTCCACAGAGGAGCCCGGTTCCAATGCTTCCAGTCTAGATGTAACTGGTGTTCGCAAAGGCCCACCTCCACCTCCGCCTCGACGCGGAAACCGCGATACAGCTGCAAGCGCAGCGTCTTACGTGGGCTCCAAAGCATCGTCAGCGTGGCAGAACGCACCCTCTATACCCTACCATAGTCGCCCTCAGGCCATCTCTGCGCAAACATCTCAGCCATTCTCTACTGCAGCGCCGCGACAGGGCATCAACCGCACCAGCACAGGTAGTACCCTAGGTGGTGCTGCAGGCGAGCAGTATGGCACAAAGAAGGAGCAGTTGTGGCGGCAGAGATGGGCACATGCAGAGCAGGTTCTCTCTGAGCAGGGCGTAATACTGCGAGGATGGAGGGTAGGCAGCGACATCATGGGCGAGGCGGAAAGAATAGTCAAAGAGGCTGATAAGAAGTTTAAGCGCGACGAGCAGCGAGGCGAGGCGGGAAACGGGAGTACCGGCAAAACGAGCGAACAGAAATGAACGCAGCGTCGCCTGTGGATAATTGGTCGTCGCGTTATTAGCGGGTTGCCTGTTGTCACTACACAAATGAACATAACGAGCCGTATTACTATCCTGTTACCTCTCCCAATGCATCTCTCCATCCGCTGCGGACATGCCCCACCAAAAGAGGCCTCTCGAGACACCTCGAGCTGGAAACAAGGTGTGTTTTGACTGGTAGCGAGAGCATCTGTACCATGAGTTTAAGTCCCGTGATGCCACAGCCGCCCATTTTTGGGTCGTCGAAATCTCGCGCGGACGCTCACCTGCACACATTCCACAAACGCATCTCCCCCGTATCAAGCGTCACGCCACACGAGATTTAAACTTCCCCAAGTCCATTTCCCTTGCCAAGCAAATCGATAGTGTGCATAATATCGCCCCTGGAAACCGGAAGCGTCGAACCCTCGCGCCTGGAGCCACGACTAAAGAGGGGTCGGGTGTGGTACCACGGCATCTGCGCACGTGCATGATTGTTGTTGTTGTGAGATGGCTGGACTGCTGCCCATGTTCAGGAGTCGTGATGTCATTCCCCTTGCTAACTGCGTATCAAAACAAAAAGACGCTAGATCCTGCCGCTTGTGCCAGCCTGCCAGGTACATAGTTGGCGACACGCGACTGCGACGCGCTTTTGGATTGTTATCCTGTCTGTCTCTTTTTACATCAGCTGCTTTACTACTACCACGCACATTCGCCAAGCATCGTAATTTTCGGTGATAGATATTGAAGATGTATGTAGATTTGGTGTTGTTCTCATGTTGCGATTGCGATTGCGACCGCGGTCGCGATGGTGATGATGCGCCGTTTTGTTGTTCGCGTCCAGTACGCGCATTGTCACACGCTGGCGTTGTCGCTGTTGGCTTGAAGTTATGATATCTTTGAGAATGAAATGCTGACTATGATGTTCTTCTGCCTAGGCCATCCAGCAAAGGAAAGCCAACGGATCCTAAGTTGAGGGAGAAGGTCAAGGAGGAAGTGAAGAACGAAACCAACAAAGACGGTGGTGGCAAGGGACAATGGAGTGCATGGAAGGTGAGTTTGTGTGGCTTCCTTTCTTAATGTCCTCAATGAATGCGACAGTGCGCATTGATTCGTGCATAGACTGACGCGATGTATAGGCTAGCAAGCTCTCGAAAGAGTACGAAAAGAAGGGCGGCGGCTACGAGAACGAGGCTGGCAGCAAGAACGAACCGAAGAAGGGGGCTCCACAACAAAAGTCCAAGGGCAAGAAGAAGGCCGAAGAGAAAGAAGAGAAGGAAGAGACTGAGAAAGCAGAAGACGAAGAGCCTGCGGAAGAAGACGACAAGGAGAATGAGAAGAAGGAGGATGCCGAAGAGGAGAAGGAGAATAACGACGCTGAGGAAGAGGCTGCAGAAGAGGAGGCCCCTCCAAGCGCGCAGAAGCCCAAGGCCAACACTGGTGCGAAGAAGACTGGCGCCAAAGCTGGTGCTAAGGGTGCGGCAAAGTCTGCTGAGCCAAAGAAGGCCGCCGCCCCTAAGGCGAAAGCCAAGGAGAGGACAGAGGGAACCAGGAAGTCATCGAGGGTTGCCGGCGCTGGAAAGCGGAAGACGTATGACGAAGATGAGAATGACGGTGAGGAGGAAGAGAAGCCAGCCAAGGGTAAGGCGAAGAAGAGCAAGTCCTGATGATGCGACGCTCTACGTGCATGCTTCTTTGGATTACTGGTGCGTATCGTGACCGATGGTGTAGTCACAGGGTCAATCGAGTGTATCCGCAACCAATATGGAAGGTTCGATGGGTATAATGACAGTTTAATTATTTCCGAGATGTTTACTCAACGCCTTCTCCATGCGATCGCGCGTCTACTCCTACTAAGCTTACTCGCGCCTGCCTGACCGGAAAGTGCAGGCCCGACGAGATAATCCGCACCGATGAGTCTAGTGTCGACCTCACCACACATTACGCCCCGGCCCCAGTGCCCAACGTGGCTGCAGATTGCCAAGATCTCACACCGATGATGTTGCTGACTGCGAGGTAGTCGGACTCTCCGAGCATGTCGCGATGTTGACGGAATCAACTCTACCGCCGGGCAAGCGCACCCCGATCCTGCAGTACAAACTTGAGGTCAGCGCTTCTCCTGCACGCACTTTCGGTCTGTTGGTCTTACCAAAGCTCGAAGCCAGCCGTATGCATAGTGCCTGATTGCGCCGTCGTCATGGGCGTGTAACGAACATAGTCTCGTTCCTGGAACCCGGCTTTCGAAACCACCGTGGCACCACAAGGCGTAGCGGATACTCCCTGGACAATATTAGCCGAGATGCTTTCTCTGAGCCAGTCAGACCTACCAACAACGCATCGTCGAGATCTGCTAGCTGAGTGCAATAGCTCACGAGTCTTCCTGCATGGCCTCGCCGCCAATAACAGGGTGCCACTGCTAAAGTACAGAGGCGCATTTTGCCCTCTAAATGCCTATTCTCCGCTGTCAGCAATCTGCGTCTAGATACGTAAGTTGTGCATACTGCAGTTTTGCTGGACGCGTGACTGCGTTGTATATTTCCACAGCTTCAGTACTTTGATCTCTTTCGAGGTCAGACATATCCAGTCGCTCAGCAACGCCAGCAAGCACGTCTTTGGGTTGGAAATGATGGGTATATGCTGATTCTGATTTGAGCTGAATACTGCATACGCCTACGATACTTCTCCGTGTCGGAAGGACCGACTTAAAGGACTCTCGCAACGCTTCGTAGACGTGTTCAGACTCGTCTTCTTGAATATTATCCTCTGCAACGAGCACCACGCATGCAGGATCTCTTAAGGCTTTCTCGTACTGAATAAAGTAGGACGATATAGTGTCCGATGGAAATGTTTGGTAATTGACGCGTTGAAACTGAAAAGAAGGCGAAGAAAAGAACGCAGCAGCCGCAACGAGCGAGATTCGGTCCAGGTCATCTGAGGTAGCCAGACGTACGCCTTCTACAGATGGAAGAAGCATGACTTTGCTCGGCTAGTAGCACTGCAAATATGAACTTCGTTCTGGGGAAACATATTGAAGTTCAATTGTGCAGGCCATTGAAAGCAATGCAATCTCGTAGCAGAGTACGTCTGCATTCAGGAAAGACATGCTACCAACTTCTCTTTGTCTACGATAAGCATGCACTGCCATTACGCATAGTCGTGCATAAAGCGAGTTTTGAGACATCATACCCGGATTTGTATGTTGCTTGGAATACAGCGCTGGCATTGGACGGGATAACATCCCGTTGTCGAAAGGTTGGCCGCCTGTCTTACAAGCGAGTTTCTTTCTTGGGGGACATCGATACGACTGACAAGTGGCAAACTTAGTCGATACTACAATGAAGGAGACGAAATCATTTACTGCGACGATAGCGGTAAACAAAGAGACGGCGCAGATGCAGGAGTAAGATGAAGGTTGTGTGTCCGTCTGGTACGCGAGGCAGGTTCGCGGGGAGATGCAGCCCTAACGGAAGCTAAGACATGCATGGCACCGACACAATGAACCAGTGTGGTTCTCGACCTGCCTTTGGTGCCTCCTCGAGCCTTCCTACCATCGAACTCGAAAAGCAACGATCTACCGTACCGGCTTTGCTTTACGGCCCAGGCCGCCATCGTTCCCTGCTACACGGATCTTGCCCATTACTTCTAAGCGAATGAGCGACACGCACCCTCGCGACACGTCCTCTGAAGTTGTACGCAGTCAGCCGCAGCCCTCCATGTCTACCACCAGTTCGCAGTACAGGAATGCCGCCCAAACTCCCTCGCACTACCAGGACTTCCCCACAAGCAACCACGACCCTTTGTATGGCTTGGGCGCATGGCAGCAGCATCATGCTTCCAGCCACGACTCGTATGCTGCCGGCCCGTCAACGGCGCAATTCCTACAGTACCCGGCAGTCGGAGTAGACTCCGCTGGTACGCATCCGCAGTCTGCTCCAACGGCTTGGACTGGTTACGTCAGACAGGCACCTCTGGAGTGGCAGCACGCTGGACCTGAGCAGAACTACACGACGCGCTCGACCGTCCCCTATTGTGATGCTGAGGGGAGCGCGTCCGTGCCGCACCAAATTCCCACAATCCCGCGCCACTATCAGCACCAACACCAGTACCAGCACCAGCCAGCGCTGGATCTGGGGCACGCATTACCCTTGGCTTCGCAGGATCACGTCTTTCGCAGTACAGAGCGCTTTAACGAGCTGCGCGTTTCGTCAGTAAGTGCACACAAGCAATGTTGTGCCCTGCACTAGGTTCGCGACTAAATCATCCAGGAGTCCCCCGCCAATACGGTAGACCCACCGTACTCGAATCATGCTCAGAAGCTACCTCCAGTCCCACGACTCTCGCATTCACAGCCGCAGACTGTTCTGTTGCACACGAACCACGCGCCACAGGTACCATTGCAGCATGATGTCGCGTGGGAAGCACATCAGCAGTACTCTGGTCATGTTGGCGACGCTGTTACCACCCGAGCTCCAGATACGAGGCACCATAGCACATCTACTATCCCTTGGCCCATGAACCCCGTCGAAACTTCCAATGCGCCTGCTGTTTACGAGCCTCCTCAGACCATGTCGCGGGAATGGGCCGTCGCTGAAGCACCACCTGATCATGAACTTTACGCACGGCAACCGGTCCCAGTCGATCAGACAACCACCCATTTGTTGGCTCAGCATAGACCACCGCCAAAGAAGAAAGCAGCCAAGGTTCCTTCGTCCTTCGTCGAGCGCCAGGAGAAGCTGAAGGTGTCCAAGCGGAAGGGCCCTCTCCAGGAAAGGCAGAGGGAGAAGACCCACACCATGCGCAAGACCAAGCGTATATGCGTTCGTTGTAGATTCTACAAATCAGGGGTATGCATGTCCAACATGACGCAGTGCAAGACTAACGAATGTAGTGTGACGAAGGAGATCCGTGTGAAAAGTGTGAGAAGATCACAGGCCACGCCCGGTCCTTTCGCGAGCCCTGTTACAGGGAGCATCTCGAAGACACTAGTCTTATACGTCGTTGTAAGTCATTGCAATATCTGCTGCTTGTTTGCTTCTCACAACAAGACAGGCAATGGCCGCGAGCACCAAGAGGAAGCCGAGTTCCTTGGTTACGACTGGATACACAACAGTCAACTCTACGAGATGGAGATCATCTGGAACCTCCCCGGCTACGGTCCTATACCGAACGCACAGCCTATGCGTATCGCCTTCCGGCCTTATAGCCCAACGCGCGGCCCGCTTGATGTCGCGACGTCCGTCTGGTCCAACCGGGATGGACAGGTTCCGTCTGTCGAACAACCGGCCTACGCCATATACGATACTGCGAATCTCGTCCAGGCTTACGAACGCTACTTCTCCAGCCTTCAACCCGCGATTGAGGAGTGGATATTTGCTCGCATTCGGCAGGACGAAGTCGCCTATCATACCTACCAGGAGGTGGTACGCATGCGAAGACTAAGTGGAAGCAAAGCCCTCGATCTCGCTATGCGACTCCAATGTCTCTCCGTCGTTTCCCAGGGATACGGTTCCGTCTTCTCGGAGAACATACCTGGCATACGCGAGTACGATTATCGCCGACTTGGCCGTAGCGACTACGAAGCCTACGACCGCAACTCATGCGACCGCCCACTCCCTGGCGCCATAACCCACCAAATGGATGTCGCGGCTGTGAAATACCTTCGCAAGCTGGAAAAGCTTTTCGTCAAGGAACTAGTGGCGCTGATTTTCAGGCCCAGGATCAAGCCTTGGTATGAGCTCTTTTTGGCATTCTATGTCATCTTCTGGAATCTCGAGTACATCCATCACGGTGCGCAAGACTACATCAAGTCAAAGAATGGCACAGTAAGTGGACGTCACTATCTCATTTTTCCTTTACAGATTCTGACCGCTCTAACTCTGCTAGTTGCTCGAGAACCAGGTCAGCAACGTGGTGACCACTCAGATCAAGAAGTGGGAATTCGCTTTTCCAGTGCTGCTGTACCATTGGCGCTGCATTCTTCGGGGCTACTCCCCGTTCAAACTAGCACGCGACAACCCGGACGAGCTCCGGGAGCGAGGGCATATTGATGCAGAAGGATTCGCATATGTCACAGCCATTGCCAATCTATTTGACCGAAATAAGCCCGGTAAGTTGGTACCGTAGATCCGCTACTGCAAGTCATTTGTTAACCAGCGTAGATCGCTTCCAGCCGCCGCTTACCGGGTTTGCCGCAACGCACTGGTCCACCTCTAGTCAATGGATCGTAAAGCTTTTCAAGGAAGCTGGAGCGTAACGTTCGTGTTCGCTCGCGTTCGATCCGTGTCATGTTGTTCCCCTCTGTTTTTTGATACCCAGTCATTTGAATGGCATTTGCGAGTCATTTTGTAGCCTGTTTCGCGGATCGCGGTTTTGTGGAGAGAAATGGGAGGCAAATGTGATGAATATTTGAGTACGTCTACCGTCAGTCTAGTCAACAGGGGAATACTAAATCAGGCCAATAACAAAAAAAGTAAGAACACAGGAAAGCGCCGTCATTCTCAGTCATCATTGCGAAACGAATGCCAAATTTGCTCAAGTCATTTCTGCCACCATCTGCGCCTCTGGGAGAACTTTACTCCGTAAAGTCTAGTAGATACGGAAGTAGCTAGCCGTGGCTCTCGCGTCCACTGATGTTGCGCCATGGGTCGGTGTCAAAAACAGGGAGACTCTGAGGTCTGCCGGGAGTGAACGGGTCGTCAAAGTTGTTGCGGCAGCTAGCCGGCTTCTCCCAAGCATTTGTGGAGTCGCGGAGGAACAGGCGCAATAGGTGCCGGGTACTAGCTTTGCCATCAACACCTCGGTATGCTGCACGGGCGTGCATGATGGACAGGTTATGGAGAAACTGGATGTCGCCTTGTTCCCGGTCAACCTTCGTGCAGAAGCGCTTGGCTAGCTCTTCAACGGCGTGCATTGCGTGCAGCTGCTTCCGAGTGACCCTGGGCATGCTAGGGTCACGCGGGATGCTATCAGTACCAAGTAGTGGGGCCTTGACTAGCTGGCACATGGGTTTTCCCTTGGAGAAGAAGAGGGTAGGTCCTAATTCTAGGTAAGGCGCCCCATCCCTGAAGTTAATTAGCAAAACTTCTAGACATCAGATACGACGAAAGCCGTGCTTACTTTTGCTTTAGCTCGAAGGGCCAGTTTGGCTCGGCCATCGTCTCGAGCACTTCTGGGTCCTTTTCAAGAAGCTCGTTATAGATTCTTGGAAAGCTCGCAACGAACTGCTCGCCACCAGCGTCTGGCCCGCCGTCGTTGCGCACGTACAGAGCAATAACGTCGCCGGAGAAGCGATCACTGTGGAAATCCATTGCTGCAGTGATTTTGGACCCAGCGAGACCGAGGTTTTTGCAGTCGTCTGGAACTCTCTTCCTGGTGGCGTCGAGAACGTGACTCAGCGTTTGATTCGCATAGGCGTCTGTTGCTCGTTCTGGGCAGACGTAGGAACATATGCCCGCAAAAGCAATTACGGCCTCTTCGTCATTGAGGTAAGCACTATCAAGACCCCGGAGTACGACCACGTTGGTGCCGTGGTGAAGCTCTTTGCTGATTGATGAGAGCTTACTAGCCAATTTGGGGCTGCCGAGATCAAAGGTTTTCTGATCTATCTTTGTCCGCGGAAGACCAGTGACTAAAGGTGTGAATCAGCATCGGCTCGTAGAAGAAGGATTGAGTGATTTGGTTTTGCACTCACGCTTGAACTTGATAATGGCCGCCCTTATATTCCGAATATCGCAGTCGGTAAGTTTGACTACGTATTCAGCTGGTTGGAGTCCATCACCTTGCCATACCATGGGCCCCGTTACTGCCGGTGGGAGTTGATCGGGAGAACTGAAATTGGACGAGGAGCTGCTGCGGAGACTGTCAAACGAGGACCTCGCGCTGAGTACCGGAGAAGTCATGTTCGATTCGTCGATTGCAGTGTATCCCGCTCAGTGGTCAGGCTCAGTGGTCAGGCTCAAAATAAACTTATTATATTTCGTATTGATTCGATGTATGTGGCGTTGTAAATGTAAATGTAATGGTAGTTGTAGTGATGCGATTCAGGAGTGAGCCTGAGGTGGGCGTTCTTATACCTCATTCTCGATCAATGGGAATCTCTTGAAGACGTTTATCGCGTAATCGCACGCCGCCGTTGTCACGGTGTGTGATTTTAGAGCTGACGGAGCCGCACTTGCTAACGAGAGACTGACATTCAACTTTAGCTCGCCGGAACATTGGAACAGGGCCGAAAACCATTCCCGCTAGCATGGACGGTTCGAGTGGGTGGGTGACCATGTACCTATGTGTATCCTCCCCGTCTTATCGTGATTCGTCACCTGATGCCCTTTACGCTAATGCCTGTCAGTCAGCCGCCATGACAGTGGGCAAATCCTCACTGAACCACCCTGCGACTCGGGTCTAACGCTCACGGGGGGAGGCAGCGGAACGCATCGAAGCTTCGCCACACGGGCGAAATTGGGTCTCCTGCCCTCCACCAACTTATCCACTGCGCTGAGGAGAGTTGCTTACTGGTAGGACGTTCTTCGGGAGTATCAGGTGGGCCCATGGTTGCCACACAATCCACCGTAATGATCGTACTCAAAGTTCGCGTAGGCGGCATGCCGGTGGCAGAAAGCGAGGCGATGCGATGCGCAGATCCTCGGAACGTGGCTCTGATATTGACAGATGTTCGTGCCGCACATCGAACCTTCGACATGTGGATGCAATCCTTTCAAGCAGTCCGCCCGATGGAGAGCAAGGACTTTCCCTATTCCCATCAGCCCTATGCGGTCGAACCTATAATTGTCAGGGATTCCAAGTAGTCACTATCCGCCCAGCTCCTGCATATGCAGGTGAGTTGAAACGGACAGGCCTCATATCTTCATCAGATCTTATCTTCATCTTCCACTCGTGCGATGCCAGCATGTGATCAAGCATACTAATTTCTGATCTGAGACCTAATCCGCGATTTGCGATGGTGATGACAAGGATCCATGTACCTTATTATTGAGCCTTCGTCCTTCACCGTGCTTAAGGCACAGCCTACAATCCAACACAACCACTACCACTCACGACAGCGCCTGTGGCTCACCGGAATCCTCTGCAACAGGATGTCATGCCAGCGTAATGCTTGCAATATGGGCAGCAGCGGTCGAGGCCTCGGTGCAGCTCCAATGCGAGACGCCTCGGAACCGCCCATCTGCGACCACGTTGAGCTGCGCAGCTTTCAAGCATGTCAGGGTCTGCCGACATATGCGCTCTATTGGCTCAATAGGTAAAGATGCGCTGCCGAGCTTTCAGCTTACGAGGGTGGCTTCTTGCTATTGGTGTAGCCAGCATATACAGTGTTTCCACCCCTCCCATGCCAACACATCCTAGTGTCGCATCCGTTGGGCCCGGGGTTGCAGTAGTCGAATCCCGAGGGATGTTACCTACACCGTGTACGTATAACAAACACTGCCGGTAATCGCGCTATGATCTGTCCACCTTTGATTGAGCGTATGGTGCGGCTATCCGCTGATAGCCAAGGCATCCATCGCTCTCACTCACTCACCATGTCTACGATTCCCGGGAATTCTTAGGTTCATTAGATGGCTCCCGCATCGAGATCTAGCTCACCGCTAAGGACAACTTGACTTTGCCTGTTACGAATATGACACATCCGCTGCCGGGCCGTTCGCTTGTCACACGCAGGTAGTGAAGAGCTAGAGCGCTTGGAGAACAGCGTACTGCACTGTGCATGACTAGGTCGGCGTCTCTACCGTAGCCTCATGGCGTGCCTTGGTGAAGACACTGTGACTGCACATCGGTTTAGTGCCGTATGTTGTATGAGTGATCAGCTGGATCCACAGAGGCCTTCATAACGGGCGTACATATTGCATGAATATGCAGCTAGTCGGCCCATCATATGTTAGGGGGACTACGCAATCCGTAGCGCCTAGCTCGCTTCTGAATACAATACGATCGTTTGTACTCAGCCTTGCGGCGCGTCCCAGACTTGATCGCTTGCATCATGTCAAAAATCGAGCGGCTCGGCTATGACAGCTCATGGGAAGTCGGCAAGAGGCATGATACCGTTTTACAGACACGGGGCCCTGTAATCACACACGTGGGTCGTGTGGGGTCGGATCAATCTCTGTATCGGGCCTGCGTGTATTCCTCAAGGAATTTTCACCCTGCCAGTGCTGCGTTCGCAGGTGGCTTTCGTGCGACGGACGGACAGGGGAGCGTAAACGTCGTCGGGGCATTGATAGCGATCCAGACGTGGCGATACTTTCCGTGAGCACCTAAACCTCCAAATGCTATATTTGCGGTGTAAAGAAGGATCGCTGGGTTGATGCGTGCCTGTTCGCAGTGTCAGCTAAGCTGAGTATACTTGACGCCAGAACTGACCTTCTATGGTAGACTGTGTAATGGACGGCTTTCGAAATTGTTGCAATACACGTGAGCTTAGATGGTGTACTACTAAATTGCGGCACAGGCTGAAGAGGGAGTTCCGCCCATCCTCACTAGCGTGTAGTCGGTGAAGTAGAGGCATGTTCCGTGCTTGGAATGTGGCGCATGGGCCGGACAAGGTCGCCCAGCCCTGAGCATATATCTCTCGGTAATTCGTATGGGCCGGCTGTGAGCACTGGTGGTCAGCGCGTGACAGCAAACCATGGCCACTTTCAAAGCGCCTCGATATTGCGCATGAAAACCGAGTTTCTCTTTCGAAGGGATACTTTCCGTGCAGGATTTGGTACGATCGCCAGTATTTGTGGCGTTCAATGTAGCGGGCTCGAATGCTGAGCTCTTCGAATGCGTGATAGCTCCCATCTCCCCCGAGCTTATCCATGCTCCAGAATCTAGAGCATTCACCAACATCTATTGATGAGAAGCCGCGACTGCGACTATATAATTGAATCGTTGGTACTCATCGCTCCGGGAGATCGTGCCGCGCCCAGCGGATGAGATCCCGAAGGCACGTCGATGAGCTTGCGGGTCAGTACGGCAGGGCTTGCTCGCTTGAGGCTGTATGGGCATGGAGAAGAGCGCAGATGGCGACAGTGACGACATGGTGTTCCAATGGGGAGGTCTCGTCCATGGGGCCTGATCGGTGAGCGAAAGCTGGAGTGAAACACGAGGTGGGGACAGGGATGCCGGATCGAGACTTTTGCAATTTTCGTGATGCTTCATGGCTGCGCCCCTATGTGAAAGAGCTATCGACGATCCATGAGGAGTAGTTAGGTAGGATGTTAGGTTTCCTTACAGGTGTAGCGACCGCGCCCTTGCTCA